TTGCAGGGGCTCATGTACTTGGGCTGTCTTCTGCTGATTTCCAGGCATATCAGCAAGGAGCTGGATCAGAAGTGGAGAAGCTGGGACTCCAACCAGTGCCCATATGGGATGCAGACACTGTAGGTGACGGCTTAACCTTTTATGTCACAGCACAGGCCCTGAACACTCCATCTTTTATTACGATCACCTTAAGGTTAAGATTTTAATGGCCACAACAATAGTAGTAAAGAGAAGCTGGATGTGTTTGGTGCATTAATTGTGACAAATATACTAATATGAAATATTAACACCGGAAGTAGAATGAAGAATGCTTTGCATCATCACCTCATTATTTTTGCTTAGTTAATGTAAAACTGTCCTGAAATAGGGGCCTGTGCTGTGGCAAAGCAGGTAAAGCCACTGCCTGCAGTGCTGGCATCCCATATGGGTGCTCCACTTCCAGTCCAGTTCTCTGCTTATGGCTTAAGAAAGCAGTAGAAAATGGCTCACATCCTTGTCTCCTGCACCTGCACGGGAGACCTGGAAAAAGCTCCTGGCTCCTGGCTTTGGATCAGCTCAGCTCTGGATGTTGCAGCATTTGGGGGCTGAACCAGCAGATGAAAGACCTCTTTCTCTGCTTCTGCCTCTCAACTAAAAATAAATCAATCTTTAAGAAAAAATTATTCTGCAATAAAATATTTAAAAAGATGGTCTTTCTTCTCAAATTGATCTTTAATCCCAATATGTTTCCAATCACGAGGTTTGTGTAGAAATTAAACTCATTCCAACATAAATGTTAAAGAGAAAGTAAAGATAGTTAAGGTATTCTTAATATTCACTTTGGATAGTAAGATGCAAAAGTGTTAGTAATGAAAACAGCAAATTATTAATGAGAAAGATCATAAAGTCTAATGGAATTGATTGGTAGCTCAGATCCAGACACATATGAAAACTCATACATGACAGACTAATCATGGCATATTAGTGGGGACTATTTGTTGTTTTTTCTTTAAGATTTTTTATTTATTTATTTGACAGGTAGAGTTACAGACAGCGAGAAAGAGACAGAAAGAAAGGTCTTCCTTCCATTGATTCACTCCTCCAAATGGCTGCAATGGCCGGAGCTGTGCAGATCCGAAGCCAAGAGCCAGGAGCCTCTTCCTGGTCTACCATGTGGGTAGACTGGAAGAGGAGCAACCAGGACTAGACCCGGCACCCTTATGGAATGCTGGAGCCTCAGGTGGAGGATTATTTGATAAGAAGTTCTCAGATAGTAATTCATATAATTCATATATGCAAAACTAAAATTGGATTCCTGCATCTTACTGTTCTCAGCCTCCCTCTCTCTAAGTAGACACTGAAATTTGAAAAGCAGGTCTCTAAAACTTTGAGGAAAAAAAGAAGAAATATTTTTAGACCTCATATTTCAAAAAAATTTCTTAGGCATGTCAGAAAGTATAAAAACATTTATATTCTATTAAAAGTTATTTAGCTTAAAAATACTGATGTTTATTCATTGTAAGACAGCACATTGAAAATGAAAAGTCAAAACCCTGTTGAAAATTTTTCATGCAGATGACCTTAAGAGGATTATCCAGAACATAAAAAAAAACTTCCATAAATATAGGCAAAAGACAAAAATAGTTATTTCAGAAATAAGGAACATGGATTGTTAAATAATACATGAAAAAATCTTCATCAGTAATCACAGAAACGCAAATTAAAACCACAATAGGCTACAATTTTACCCTCATTGGAATGCAAAAATTAAATACACTGACAGTGGGGCCTCATAAATAATGCTGGTAATACTCAAAGCTTCGAAAACACTATTTAATAAAGCCTGTACTCCAGCGATTGCATTTTTTTCAAAGATGTATTTTATTTATTTGGAAAACTGAGTTACAGAGAGAGGTAGAGACGGAGAGAGAGGTCTTCTATCTGCTGGTTCACTCCCCAAATGGCCGCAACAGCTAGAGCTGAATTGATCCAAAGACAGGAACCAGGAGCTTCTTCCAGGTCTCCCACATGGGTGCAGGGGCTCAAGGACTTGGGCCATCCTCTGTTGCTTTCCCAGGTTCATTAGCAGGGAGCTGGATTGGAAGTGGAGCAGCCAGAACTTGAATGGGTGCTGATACAGGATGCCAGCACTGCAGGCCGGAGCTTTAACCCACTGTGCCACAGCACCAGTGCCATGAATATACTTTTGAATTATAAAAAACATGAAATAGAATTTCACAACCACCATATTGGCAAAGTATAAAATAAAATACAAAACAAAGTGTTGATTAATAAAGGAATAAAACTCGAATGAAGAGCTGACAGGAGTGTCATCAAAATCCTTTGAAGAGCACTTCGACATTTCTTACTGAAGATATATAGATAGCTATGCTGTGGGTCCAATAATTCTCTTCCTAGATAAATTTTACATATGTTTATCAGGAAACATGAGCAGCATTGCTTATAACAATGAAAAAACTGGAAGCAACTTCAAAATATTTATCTCAGGAGAACTGGATACAGAAAAAGATCTGTAGGAATCTCAAACATGCAAACTTAATGAAAAAGCAAGTCATGAAGTTGTCAGAGTACCAATTCTATAACGGTGAAAACATGGAAAATTAATGGATAAACCCTGAAGTGTACACATGTGTGTGTGGTAATAGTAAACAACTCAAGTCAGGGTGATGATTACCCTGAGGAAGAATAAGAGGAAGAGCACTGTGAGAGCTTCCTTAATATCAGAGCTGTTCCATATCAATGACTGGGTTGTCCCTTTCATTACTCTTTGCACTTCATGTATGTTATATATTCTGTATCTGTCCAAATCATCTCATAATATTAAAAATGAAGTATAAAGCAAAAACAACATATCCCTGAAATTAAAAATGGAATAAAGAATGTATATGTTCTTGCGGTAATTTTATATCAGTACTGAATAATATTTTGAAATTTTCCAGAATTGGGCAAATGACTGATTCTTCAGTTTAGCTCTAAAAGAACTGTTGGGTTTGCCTTTTGAGATTGTGAAGCAGAGTATAATATATGCTTCTTGAAATATTCAATGTGTTGTTGAATTGCTCACCCCATTAAACACCCTGGGACTGAGACAAAAAAAGGAATGGCAGATTAAACAGCGTGAACACTCACTGGTAGATTTATGTTTGTCAATACAGCAGAACAAATAAAATCGAAAGTAGTATTCAACAGTTTCTTGTTTTTCTCTGTTAATGTTGACTGCTAATTTTAATTTTTGATTTAGTTTATCTGCCTTATCCCAAATAGTGCAGAAAAGGTAGGAGCAGTACAGAAAGGGGGAGTTTCTTCTAGTGGAGAGCAGATAAAGAAGAGTAGAAGACAAACCAGACTTGGGAATAAAAATTGGAATTCTTCCCACTGACTTCCGTATAATTTCTGAGGCACTGTTGACTGATCAAATTTGAGTGCTGCGGCTCACTTGACTAATCCTCTAGGACCCAGGTTCTAGTCCCTGTTGGGGAGCCGGATTCTGTCCCGGTTGCTCCTCTTCCAGTCCAGCTCTCTGCTGTGGCCCGGGAGTGCAGTGGAGGATGGCCCAAATGCTTGCGCCCTGCAACTGCATGGAAGACCAGGAGGAAACACCTGGCTCCTGGCTTTGGATGGGCGCAGCCGTAGCGGCCATTTTGGGGTGAACCAACGGAAAAGGAAGACTTTTCTTTCTGTATCTCTCTCTCTCTCTCTAACTCTTTCTGTCAAAAATAAATAAATAAACAAAGCAAATCAAATGGGAGTAGCTTCGAAATGGAAGGAAACAACTGGGAAACTGTATTAGTGCATCTTCCTTCACAGATGCCAGGTTCCAAACTGTGTCAACTGTCTTAATCTTATTCTCTCATAATGCTTTCCTACACTGTTGGTCCAGTTTTTATTCCTTTTCTAGATATGTTCTGTTTTTGAGTTCTTGACTATCAGGATCCTGAAAAAAAAAGTATTCATGAGAAAAATAATATGGTGAAAAACCTCAATAACATCAAAATAGTTTGGATAGCAAAAATCTGAAAAGAAGATTCGCTTCTGTCCAAAAAAGATCTCTTTTTGATTTCTTTTGATTTCAGCCACAAAACAAAACAAAAAACTATTTTATGAGGATTAAATTATTCTTATTAAGTCCCCATACTTGAATCTGGTTTAGATACTACACAAAAAATTTTTTAAACAGATTTTTATCTGGCTTTTAAAGTGTCTTTTGTTTTAATATTTATGTATTTATTTGAGCTGCAGAGAAAGAGGGAGGGAGAGGCACATTATCAGAAGCTAGATAAGAAGAATGGGAAGTGGAACATTTGGGACTGGAACCAGCAATCTGATAGGGGACTCCTGTGTCACAAGCACACACCACAGTACTGTCCCCTCTAAGATGTCTTAAGCAAAAATAGATAATGCACTGTGCATTATTGAATAAGTAAATAAACCACAGACAGCACAACTCAAACATTACTTTTATAATGTTTTGTCAATCTGTGTTTCTGCTTTACTTTGATATACTGATTTTACTTGTATTGAGTATCATTATGCTCATACTATTGTTTATTTGACATGATAATTATATTATAAAGTGTTGTCTGTATTATTTTAAATAGCAATAATTATATATTAATTATATAGTTTTATGTGGAATCTTATTATTGACAATACTGAGCTGTTTCAGCTAGAGTGATGCTAAAGTTTTAAATGGATTATGTTGATGCTGGTGAAAGGATCAGAACTAATAAAAAATTAATTGGCATTAATTACTCTTTTCCACAGTATCTGGGTGCTTTATTGGTTTTTAATTTAAGACATTATTTCATTCTATTTAGATTTAATGTAATTTCTGTACAAAACACAACACCTATACCAAACTGAATTCCTTATAATGGGATATTGTCTCATTCATCTTCAGTAACCCACAATATGTATCAATAATTGTTCATGTATTAAACAGTCATTTCTTCACACAATATTTTCCTTTTCTTTAAGTGTGCCTTTTAAATTTCTTCCAGAAATTTGGTACAACTATATAAAAGTGAAGACGACATGGAAATTTCCAAGAAAGTGAAAACTCACTGGATTTCTTTGGGCCTAGAAGATGTACAGTTAGTAAATTATTCTGTGCTGCTTAATCTGCCAGGCCCTTCTCCCAGCACTGTGACTCTGAGCAGCAGTGGCCAATGCTTTCATCCTAACGGCCAGCCTTGCAACAAGGAAGCCAGAAAAGCTGGCAGCCAAGATCTGCTCTACTCATATGCAGCTTACTCTGCCAAAGGAACTCTCGAGGTAATATGGCCATTTGTCTCTGTCATTTACAGTGAAATAGAATTAGAAAACAACAGCTTTCATCTAAATTGAACTAACTGGCAAGATGCAACGTACAGAAGTAACCATTAAATGTTCTCAGTGTGGAGGTGCCAAGAAAGGGAAGGTTTGGATTGCCTGACCCATTCCTTGTAATATTTTGAAAGTGAAAACATGTTAGAAGAATTTAATTCACAGGTGTTGAATGTGTGACTGAGTCGTTCACATTTCGCTCACCATACAGTGCAAGTCTATTTCATTCTGTAGTTATGAAAAAACAAATTTTAAAACAGAGTGGAGAGCAAGGATAAAAATAGAGGGGACTGTGTTTTGAGACTGCACATGCACACAAGAAATTAAGTGCACAACTGATGTGATTACTGATACATTTAAGATTTTAAATGCAGCACTTCTGCTTTCATGACAGGAAATATATATGAGACTGGGGAACAAATCTCCCCCTATAGGTGTGGACTATTTCTTCACTTTTCCCAACTTAACTGGCTTTTGGTGCTGTGTTTTGCTTCCTTTTGTTTGTTGTTTTGCTTTTAGCTTTTGGTTATTTTGTTTCTTTTTGACAAAATGATCAAGTGAAAGATCCTAGAGTCCTAGAGTCACATGGACCAGTTTTAAATCTCAGCTCTCCAAATAGCCACTGTCACGTAACCATCTTCAGCTGAGATTTCTTTACCTCTATCCAGGGATAATAATAGTTCCAATATGATAAGTCTATTATTATATATAAATTTTAGCTATAGTATCTATATAATTTATATATACATGTACTTAAATACATACATATATAATTTTGGAGTAATAAATCTTGGCAGACAGAACAGAGCGAGAAGTAAAGATGATGTACAAATTAGATGTAACAACATATGATTGGTCACTATTTTCCCTCAGATAGGCAAGTTTTCTGTCTCTATGTAAAAGTATAATTTCAATACTTTTCTTTGCAAAACTGTAGGTTGCCTTATTTCATGCAAATGAAATAATACTGTTTTTCTGACTGCTGTTAATGGTACACAATTCTTTTTTTCAAGATATTTATTTATTTGTAAGACAGAGAGATACAGAGAGGCAGAGGCAGAGAGAGAAAAAGAAGTCTTCCAACCGCTGGTTCATTCCCCAAATATCCCCAATGGCTGGAACTGGGCTGATCTGAAGCCAGCAGCCAGAAGCTTCTTCCAGGTTTCCCATGTGGGTGCAGGAGTCCAGGGACTTGGTCCATCTTCTACTGGTTTACCAGGCCATTGTAGAGCTCTGGATTAGAAGTGGAACAGCCAGGACTCAAACCGGCACCCCATATGGGATGCTGGCGCTGCAGGCGACGGCTTTACCTGCTATGCCACAGCACCTGCCTAATGGCACACATTTTTAAGAATCTAACTTATTGTGAACCTCGATTAATATATAGAATATTTAAATAAGTTCAAGTTAATTTGCAGAAACACTAGATGTAAAATAGCGGTGAGTACTTGTTCATAATATATGTTTTTTCTTTATTTAATGAGGTAAGGTTGGGGAGATGCAACATAACTGGCTGTTCTGTGTGGTGTCATACCAACTTTATCAGGACTCTACATATAACTAACACCACCTTGAGAGAATACAGATCATTAGTTAAAATTTAGTATAATATTAAATACAGTGGTTCTAGTATAGAATTCACATAATATGACTTGAATTATATATACTATTTCTGTTAGGCAATATAAAATAGGTCTGTATCTGAGTATTAATAAAAATGGAAGAAGGCAGCACTCTTCCCTTGATTCATAAAGTTTGGCTTTAAATCAATCGTCTATAAGTTACCCCACCCAGGGTCCCTCAGATTCCCATGTCTGCAAAAGCCTTGCACACTTCCAGTCTCCTCTTTGTTTCAATTGCTCAAGTCAGCCAGATTATTCCTTTCCTAAATAAAAACATGTCCAAAAGAGAACAGCTGCCAAACCCTGGAATCTGAGCAGGGCCTTGGAATCAACCCCATCTGCTTGCTTTTCAGTTTCCTTAGGTCAATGTTGATCTTTCCCAACTGAAGTGATGTAGAAAAGCTATCAAATGACAAATTGTGTGCCTAAGTATGGCCCTTTATAATAATCCAGCATTCCCATTTGTGTGACTGTAGAATGAGATGAATCAGTTCCACAGATGTGAGTCTACCATGCAAGAGTTCCCTCAATTCCCATGTACTTCATGTTGAGACTATCCGGTTTCCACAGAGCCCCAAGATGATTAGATCACAGGGACCCTATAAGTATGCATTGATTAAAATTGGAATATATTTAGGCCTGACATATGTTAAACCAAGTATCTTTTTCAAATTTAGCAGTTAATGTTTATAGAGGCTGTTTAATATGCAGGAATTTTACTTGAGCATCATTTTGATTCCCTCAATACTTTAATACCATCTAAGATCAGAAACTAGAAACTGAACTCTAAAAGTACTAATAGTGTTCTCTGAACTTACCCCTACCCTCCCCCAGCCCCATGCACCTCAGCCCAAAGAATTTAGAACTAGAAAATGCAGGGAAGAGTTATTTGCATTTGTATACTATCAGCATTCCTGTTATGTCTTCAACATGTCCAATAGCTCACCTTTTAGATCCTCTTGCATGAAACAGTTCTGTTACCCAAACACAAACAAGTGGTTATTTCCTTCTGCCTTTTCTTTTTTTAAGACACAAAAGGCATTTCATTAATGAAGAAGCTTATATATTTGAAATATTTGTATTTACTTGCACATTTGTGTGTGCGTGTCTGTTTGTCTGTATCTATTAACCATGGCCTCTGTATTTTGTCTTTCTGTAAGTATTTTGCCAACAATTGCTATGAAAGCCAAGACATTTGTGACTAGGCAAGATTCAAAAGAACTTTTATGTCTTATCTCTCACATCTAATCAATTCACTTCTGGTTCTAAGACCTTGACATTGTAATGAAGCAGTTAACTTAAAAATTAAAAACTTAAACTATCAACCAGTAGTTTCATTTGTTCATCACCAAAAAAGGCTCTTTTTTATATATAAAATTAGTTTTTATCATTTTTTAATGGAACTCAGTGAGGTTGCTTTACATTCCCATGTGAATATTGCTAGTAGTTTTCTGTATGTTTATCTTTTTTTAAATGTTTAAAATTTCCCTTCATTTCGTATTTAAAAAGCCAAGGTCTGTTGCAGGTTGATTGAATTATGCAAATTTTATAAAGCTGTAAGACCTTGTTTGAAACCTCAGATCATTTGTAAATGATTTAAAACTTCCATTTGCAAAGATTCATTCATGGTGCCTGTATTGTGGTGTAGTAGACTAAGCCTCCAACTGCAGAGCAAGCATCCCTTATGGGCTGCTGATCAGCCTGGCTCTGTTGCTTGTGGACTTTTTTGGGGGGGTGAACTAGCAGATGGAAGATCTTTCTCGCTGTCTCTCTGTCTATAGCTCTACCTCTCAAATTAAAAAAAAAATTATTTATTTATTTGAAAGGAAGAGTGACAGAGAGAGAGGGAGAGAAAGATTTTCCATCTGCTGGTTCACTCCTCAGATGACTGCAACAGCCAGGTCTGTGGGAGGATGAAGCCAGCAATTCCAGCCTAGTCTTCCACATTGGTGACATAGGCCCAAGTACTTGAGCCTTCTTCGGCTGCCTTCCCAGGAGCATTAGCAGGCAGCTGGATTTGAAATAGAACAGCTGAGACTCAAACTGGCACTCTGAGTTGTCAGCATGGCAGGCATGCTCTGTGCTACAATGCGAGCCCCAAAAGAACTTTTTAAAAAACACCTATTCAGTAATCTTCTTAGGCTCTAGTCATGAGTTGCCAAGGCTATGGATTACTGACACCATAAACAAGAGTGTCAGATTGTTAAGTCAACAACAGGAGTCACTGTGTGCTTACTTCTCATGTGGGATCTGTCCTTAGTGTGTTGTCCAATGTGAAGTAGTGCTATAACTAGTACTGAAACAGTATTTTACATTTTGTGTTTCTGTGTGGGTGCAAACTGATGAAATCTTTACTTAATATATACTGAATTGATCTTCTGTATATAAAGATAATTGAAAATGAATCTTGATGTGAATGGAATGGGAGAGGGAGTGGGAGATGGGAGGGGTGTGAGTGGGAGGGAAATTATGGGGGGGGAAGCCATTGTAATCCATTAACTGTACTTTGAAAATTTATATTTACTAAATAAAAAACAGCACCTATTCAAAAGGAGAAAATAAAGTTAAATGTAGATGTAGAAATATGTTCCATTTTTTAAAAATGAGACATAAACAAAAGAGATTCTTAAAGGGACTGAAGTTCAATTATGACTAAAACATGCACCTTATATTTGAAGAATGTGCTTTAAGACTTAATCATGCAAATGAGATGAAGGTGCTGATAGTGACTATAGTTAAAATTGTATTAGTACTGCAAATGAATTACACAGAGTATAAACTAACTTAAATATCTATATCAAGAGAGTATAAGTTATTGATACTAATTTTTAAAACCCAAACAATGTCAGTGTTTTAGTTTTCAAAAGCAAAGTCATTCTAAGTGAGTATTGTATATGCACAAGGAACATTTGCATGTATTTTACACACATATTTAGGATAGATATATTATTGAAATTCCCACAGTCCAATTAATAAGGTACTGTGATTTTTCTCTGTCTCTTTGGAACATTCCCTAATTTGAATCAAGCTTGAGTGATTTCTGATGATGATTCGGGTATATTTCCTTTTTGATTTTGAGTACCTTGTATTTGCATGAATTTCTATCAGGCAGAGCCATTAGCAAGTTCTCAAATTATTCTGGTCTGACTGCTAGCAAAACTCCCCACAACTTTTGCTTTTGACAAGGTTATTTGCAGAAGAGGAGTGCCCCTTTTCTTTGAAAAGCTGTCATGTCCATTCATCATATGGCCGTTTTGTATAAGCTTCCAATTTGTGCTCTCTGGTAACAGTCTGAGCAGCATTTGTGATATCTGAGATCTACTTCGA